CACTCTTCTTTAATTCTGACTCGAACGCCAGATCTCGAATACACTAAATGCAGAAATTCCTAAAACCGAACAACTTTGTTCTATCAATGGACACTTTTTAAAATGAACTCTGAGGTAACGTTGCATGTAGCATACATATATTAGTATTAAACATCAATGACACTTTAATGCTAACAAGATAATATTGATTGATTCTAATGGAAATAATATAAAACCTTAACGGTTAATTTTATGATTAATGCTACTTTGACAATTCTTTTGGTTTTTTTCATTTAGTGATTGAATTTCTTGCTAAATTTTCGTTTCTTATCATATCATAATAGGCTTTTTCTTCCTCTAGATATTTTCTTAGAGTTTTCCACGTATTCCCGTGACAGATTCTTCTTAAAAATGACTACTAAATAACTAATATTTTCTGAAGAGATCTCACTTCTCAACGCCTTCCGACCATAAATGACTGAAAGTTTAACACCGCAAGTAGAGTAACAAAAGACGTACATGTACGATAAGATTTCAGGCCAAACGACCGTATTTCTATTTTCTTTTCTTGTCACGATACAATTGTCATAGTCATTCTTTCCTACATACAATTCAAAATACCGATACCGGTTATTTTACGCTATGCACACATTGCAGTGCAACATTGACTTTGTCTTGTTGCATGAACATAACAATCTTTAGCATTTCATAGATTGTTTTTAGAAATCTTATTGTGATAAAATAATGAAGAATTAATGTTACGGTTTGTTTGCATTTAGAACTGAGAAAATTTTCTATAAATGGTTATACGTAAAATTACAGAAAAGATCTTGCATACTAGAATAGAACTTGGATGCAACGATAAATTCATATGGATTCACATATACTCTTTTTTTCCATTTTTCTTTCTATTTTAGGCAGAAGAACCTATTGGACAAACTAAATAGTCAATTTATGTGTATATAACTTGCTGAACTGTCTAAAAAAATTTTTTTCAATTAGAACATTTTTTTTCTTGGTGTTCATTACTTCTTTGTTTGATTTTTTTTTCTTTTTGTGGAAATTTGATCATAGAAATTTTTCTTTGCCTTTCATGTTTATAGCAAACATCAAAAGCTATGAAAATATTGTATGTTGATTAAAAAAGCAATCTATTCACTTTTATTATTCTGTCTTGTGAGATCTACTTTTCGGACGTTAGATCTAATTTGAAAAGATCAATAATGTTAGCATGATGAAGAAAAACGCTAAGAACAAGATAGTAATACCAAGCACGAACAGCAGTTCATTAAATTTGGCACTCTTCTCTATTTTGACGATAGTTTTGATTTATCTTTGTTCTGGATAACAAGAAAAAAGAAAATGAAAACAAATGGTAAGAATTATGTTCAACTGTAGAGTTTATCTAAAAAAAAAGCACTAAATGGGATATATGGCGAGCATTGGACTCATTTATTTGCAAACGATCCTTAAGAACTTCATCTATGAGTGAAAAATAAAAGGACGTGGGTTGGAAGGAACCCAACTGTAAAGTGACATTTTCAACCTACAATAAATGCATACGACAGGAATGGTAGAATATTTTGGAACAGAAACTAACCGGATTTGACCGGTTTCAGTTCGACTCGATTCGTATTTATTAAGTTAAAAACCGTTTCAACTCTGCTTAATTCGAGTACATTTAAAAAATTCGAATCGAACCATTATAGTTCTGTTCGCTTCATTTTCGGTGTCTGCTTAGAAATTGGGTTGAGATGGATGTGGATGTGAGAGTTGACCTGGATGTTGTCCTGTTCTTCAACAACACATCCACACCCATATTAAATGACTCAAATAAATTGGTAGAAAAGTAATTATAAATGTGAACATTTTCGAAGTGATTAAATTTCAGAGCGCGCCTATCAACAATAAAAACTGTTATGATTTTGAATTATTCATTTATTTGATACTTTTTCAAAATGAATTATTTTAAAAGCTCTGATAATATATGAAAAATTCACAACAGCCAGAATTCATGATTTCCACACTTTGAATCCAGAAGTGACTGCACTGACAATCTTTTTTCGTTTATTTTCGAATGGATTTTAGATTCTTAAATGTTTATTTAAAGTTGATATCGGATTAGACAACACATGAATAGTTGATAAACAGTTTAACGACCAATTTCGTGCCAATTTAATCTTTATTTAGTAGATGCAAAAAATGTCCGACAAAGTTGAGATAAGCATTTCATAATGCTTTATTATATTTTTTTAACGATTGCCAAATAAAAACTGCAGTATCATGAAATGGAATTTAATAAAAAACAAAAAAGGTAAACCTTAATAGATTGGAAATATTTGACATTCTCATTTATTCTAAAGCTGAGGTGATTACAATATTCTTTAGAACGATAAAAAGAATAACTCAATGTTGTTCTAACAGCTTAATTGATTGCTTCCAAGTATTGTAATATTTACAATAGATAGCATATTCATTTTTCGCCGTTCTCATGTACAGCAATGTATTAAAACTAACGAATGCATGAAACCAAGGGGGAAACAGCGGAGACTTCAGCCGTGAAGTCTTGAAAGTCTTTTGAAGTCTTCTGAAGTCTCTTGAAGTTTTATGAATTCTCATGAAGTCTCTTGAAGTCTCATGAAGTCTCACGAAGTCTCATGAAGTCTCTTGAAGTCTAATGAAGTCTCATGAAGTCTCATGAATTCTTCTGAAAGTTTTGAAATACATTTAGTGCATGAAAATTCATAAGAAACCAATGAAATTGTCTTGTTTTCGACGGTCNAGTTCACGAAATAAAATAATTGCCGAAAGTAGAGTTTCTTTACTATGATCAATTAGTTGCCTAATATTTTTTGATAAGATGTCTGATAATTGCCAAAACTGCACTATTGGCTATTGCCAAAGATCCCTCCTGTTTACAGCCGAAAATCCTACAAAAACACAACTTTTGGCAATTGCAGAAAGTCAAGTGCGAAAGTCAGTACGGCGAAATTCGCGTTTCCCTCTTTGATTTATTACATATTTACTAAAGTTTAACTCATTTGCATTTATCTAGGGTGGGTTGTGGGTGTTGGTGTGAGGTGGGTGTGTGGGTGTTGGTGTGAGGTGGGTGTGTGGGTGCGGTTTTTGTGTGTCTTCACACACCCCGAAATACAGTAGTAGCATTTTTGGGTTTCTAGGATTATAATTTTTCACAATAGAACAAAACGAAAAAAAAAGATTTTGCGGCAACAATTTTTTTCTATGGCATGAGTAAATGGAAAGACGACTTATTTTCGTTGTTAGTTTCTTTATCTTTGCATGTACGTTTTTCGTTTACATCACAGTCATGACTGTGATGGTATCATGAGAAAATGGTTATTTATTATATATGAGTCAATGAAATGACCATACATTGTAGTTTGTATTCGAATGTAATCCCCTGTTCATCTCTGTGAGGTGTATTTCAATATGAAATCAAAATACGCCAACAACAATGCAATTTAAAATAAAGCGATTCCGTTTCGTTTCTGAAGTCTTCATTTTGATTATGCGCTGTTTATGAAGGTTTCCTCAGATGTTTGTACAGAACGATTGCCGTGTTTAAGGAAGCATACATATCAATCCCATCTTTTTTTTGCAAAATATGAAAGAAACTTGTGCAACACAGATAACTGGTATGTATCAACAGTAAACAAATCACTTATCATATATTTTCCTCTCGATTTAAACTATTTTTATTGAACGTAATAGAATAATTTCATCTATTCTCCATGGTGTTGAAACGATATAATTAATCATCTAATAAAATTCACTTCAAATTTCAATTAGATACACAGCTACAGCTGTGAAGATTTAAAACTAGTTTCGTACGAAGCAAAATTATTTGACTTTCATCAAGCTAGTTTTGCCCAATGGATTGTGCGGTCATTTAGATAATACATTGAGTTCAGTTAATTTTTGTTCTATAGAAGTCATATCAGTCTTTCATTATATCAAACACGTATATCCGGAGAGAGAAATGATGGAACCAATCGCGCTTCCCGTTGAAAAAAAGATATAATCGGCAGAGGTACGGATAAACAAATTTGGACAAAGAACATGTACATTTTCAATATGATTATTTTCTTTCTGTGTGAAAATTGCGGAATATGTGCCTCATGACACATATTGAGGTTATTAAGAAGTTTGGCAGGAGCGCTAAGGTATGAGTATGGATGATAACATGCTGAGCTTGATTCCCAACTAGAGAAGTTAGACAAGTGGATGATAGTTGATCGTATACTACGTCACGTAAGCTTAAAATAGAATTAACTTTTCATAGTAGTATTTCCTTGCCGTAGATGTTGTGAGCTGAAAATTGGAATTGCTGTTTATTTAATCAATGAGATATTAACAATCTTCATCGGCCAGAAGTTTGCCAGAACATTATATTGTTCATCAGCAGCGTTGCAATACACCCTTTCTCTGAGAAATAATCCCTAGATTTTACTTCGCTAGTGCAGATCTATAGTACCGTTGTATTCAGTAGCAAGTAATATAGTTGTTAATTGAAATTTATCAAAACATCATATGTTAGAAAAAAAACTAAGATTGCAGAAATGATATCTGTTGAGAATTTGAATCATATACACAACATAATCATGTAACACTAATTCAAAATTGATTGCACTTTACTTATCTGCATGAAAAAAATATCCTTGAATCAAACCATATGCATTTGCTTTTCTTTTATCGTAGTGTTGTTTATGAATCATTGTAATATTTTTGACGACTGGAAATGATCATGATATATGAATCTATGAGTATGGCTACGCGTCGATGCATTCTATGCCACTGGCTTTGCACATATCTCTGAGATTTGAGGAGATGGTTGATTTATTTCTCTGTGTAAACAGTAAATAGCACAACAATTTTTTTACTAAATTCAATTATACTTAGTGTTCATTGAGATGATAGATTATATAAATAGAAGAACTGTTCATAAGTGATCTTAATCACACACCCAATCCGTAGTGTAATAACAAAATAAATTTCTGTTCATGACATTCATGATTTGTTTTGTTGCCAGTAAGTGAAAATCATAAGAAAACAACAACAGTGTCCTTCTTTCACCAGCATAAGTCGTCCTTTCTTTAGTCGATAACAATGTTTTACATTATTTAATTTTATCCAACAACCATGACGGTTCTAGTTGCAAGTACCATCAGACTTCAGAAAAAAATATTACCTGTTCTATAATTTTCTAATATGTTCATTTAAACGCTTGCCGCAACAGAAGATCTCCTAAGAAAACTATAGTTTGAACTTAAGAGAAGATTTTGTTAATTAATTAAGGTTTCGACGACTTGGAACTTTCCTTAACATATTTGTATCGAATCATGCATAGTTCTAAGAATTTTGAGCTGAAAATCTTTACAGACCAAGGTCAATAACACATCTTATTACTTAGAAGCCAAAATATCTCTTCTCAAATTCAAGAAATCGTTTTGATTTTCTGAAAAACCTTTTCAATGAAAATTAATGGAACACGATAGAAGATCTTCTGAAAATTGTTTACGTATACACATAAACGAAGGCTCCAGATCTTTTATTTTGGGGAGGATTTACTTATTAATCAGTGACATAAACGAAATAAAAGACTAAGGAATACAAATAGATATACGCTTTTCAGTCTTTTAGATTGATAGAACAGTAGTGAAAAGATACTCTTGTTATTAATTATTATTTCGCATGATTGTTTTGTGTATTATTTGTGAGAGTATCTCATCAAAGTTCAAGATAAATTTTAGATTTCATTCAAGTAAAATAGTAATATTCGTGTGAACGCTTTGCGCTGCTGTATTTCATCCTATTTTGGTAATTGAATCTATCATAATTACATCGAAATAGTATTTAGCATGACTTTAAATTCGAATGACGATACTACACAAACCATGTTTCCTATATATTTTGGTCGCAACACGCAATTTAGTGATGCTTCTTCGACACCATTGAAAATGACCAAGTTCCATGTCGCACAACAAGTAAATGCAAAAATTTCCACTTATACATCAAGTGGCAACCAGTGACATTTAAAAATGATAATAATAGATATTAGAAAGAGCTTTGAAATTTATACTACTGGAAACGGCAGTAATTTGTGGATTCGGTGAGTAAAATTACTAGACTGTTATGTTATTAGTTTGTGAAAAGATGAGCAGCAGAAATATTGAATGAAAATCATATTTTTAGTTGTATAAGTAAATCATTGATAAACGTGAAATTCATCTTTCGTATGAAGTGATAATAAATTTTTGATATTCTTTTTCATAGGTGTTGATGGTGTTGTTGTTGAAAAGGAAAAAGCTCGAGTGACATTTGAAAATGAAGTTCGGAATGATGTTGATCCTGGTCTTGTTGAAATGATTCAAGGAAATACATTTTGTACAAGAGTTTATCCAATACAACATGGAGGCACACGAACAGTACGTGTTATTTATCAAGATCAAGTGAAAGTCGAAAATAATAATTTCTTCTTCAATATTCCAATCTATTTTACAACTACTCTCAACAGTTTGAATATTTCATTATTTTGTGCACAAGCATCAAATCATGATCAACCAGAGGTTCTTTTAAATGCTAAACTAAAACAGCCTTTTGTCCACTCAAATGGAAAATATTGTTCTGAATTTCATCAAGTTAATGTTCAACAATTAGGAGGTGAACGGTCGATTACGTACATGCTTAACAATTTGGCATTAGAACAACCCATCTATAGTGTAGAAATCGATCCCGATGATCATAGTGAAGCTTATTTTGCTCTATCCTATATGCCACCATTACCGCAATCCAATGAAGTTAAACTCGATAGTCAAAAAACAATGTCCGTTTGTATACTATGGGATGCAAGTTTCAGTCGAACTAATGTTGAAAATCCAAATCACGAAATAAATATGCTCAAGATCATATTAGATGCTTGGAAATTGAATGCCATCAATGTTATATTAGCTGTAGTTATATTCCAAAATGTAGTTGAAGGGCCGAATACATTTCAACTACATGAACAACTTTGTTGGCCAAAACTTAGTCAATTTTTAACTGATCTATCATATGATGGCGCAACAAATTTATTTCAACTAGCTACAATTTCAACTATTATTCCGAATGCAACGCACTATTTTTTATTCAGTGATTGTCTATTGACAATTGGCAATGATGGTCCAACACAATTCAATCAGTTGGCAACAAAACTAATTTGGATACTTAATGCAAATTTTACACATGAACCGACAAATGTTTCATTAATTAAACATTTAATTAATCTCAGTAGTGGTGGCTATATTACACGTGAGAAAATTGTGACTGAAAACAATGCAAATGAGATCGTTCAATATATTGACAGACCACAACCAAGGTATATCAGTACGGATATTATCAATAACGCCTCTGTTCATGATATTTATTCGAGTCATTCAATTATGCTAGCAACAGATGCAGAACGGTTTATACTTGTCGGGAAAATGTCATTACCAACTTCAGTAAATATTGCAATTAATTTTATGATATTGAATGAAAATGCATCGTAAGGTATTGGCGATAGATAAAGTAGAGCCAACATGTGAAAACTATGGATTATTGCGTCCATTATATACGCAACAGTTGCTAGCTGAATTAACTGCATTTGCGGAAAAAACTAAGAAGCGTATCATAGGTATCGGTATGAAATATTCAATTGTAAGTGATTTTACATCCATACTTGTCTTAGAAACATTGCAACAACATATTCAACATAATATATGTCTGTATCAATCCCGTACGGCACTATATAGTGATTATATGAAGCATCAAGCTGAAAAAAAAACGGCAAGAGTTAGTTAAAAACCAAGACAAAATGGCAGCTGTCTTAAATTTATGACAAACGTATTTTTATGGTATGATAAAATAATTACGGACACAGATCGTAAGAATGTATATATAAAACAAATTGCTGATAACTTCTCAGATACACTATATAGAACATATGAATCATATGATCGTAGAGCCCGAGACTTTGCAGAAAGACGAAGGAACATGGAGCAGCTATTAGCGATGCATCAAAAACGCATGAAACAATTAAACGAGTATGCATCTCAGTATCGATCATCAGCAGACGACAGAGAATTCCAAAGTCAACTTGAAAAAGAGTGTCGATGTAGGTGTGCATGTGTCTTCTCTTCATCCACACCCACACCCACACCTATGAGTTTAATCGAAGGTGAGTATGAATCATTGATTTTATTTTTTCCCCACTTAAAATTTATTACTGAACAAATCAATGTAATGATAAGTTAAAATAAAATACATTATAACTGCTGATTTTCATATAATTATATCAAAAGGAAAGCATTAGAGGAATGATAATGATAGTGAAAAGGACAGAATCAGGGTGTGTAATATTCAAATGTAAAGGGATGTGGGAGAACTGAATACCTACACACACACTCATGAGATGTTCATATCCTCGGTAGGATCCACTTAGTACCGCCATGAAAATTAAGAAGTTCGAAAAGAATGTAGGAATTCAAGAGACATTTAAAAGCACCAGCGAACCTCAAATTATTTTAACTCCAACGTTTTCCCTCATTTCCATCGCGGTTATAAGGAATTGATATGTAAGATGTTAGTATCTCTTGAATTTCCTACATTGTCCTTGAATTCTGAATTTTGGAGCAGTATGAGTATGTCTCATACTTGAATTTACTTTTTTGTCATTATTTTTTTCGTTCCTGCCAGTAAAGAGAAAACACTCGTTCTGAAAGCTTTAAAGAAAAGTAAGCAATGAATGAGACAAGGTGTGCCACGTATTGGCATCGAAACCATTCATATATACATGAAAAAACAACTGTAAATGAGACGGAGTCACAACAGAAAAAAAATGACGTTGTTAGGAATTTTTTTCTCTTTTGTTTATTGTTAACGACTGTATTTTGAATTGAAACCAGATGAAGTTTGCAAATGAATGTAAACAAAAATGGTGTACCACATGTTTGAAGTTGTAGAAAAATATGGAAGAAAAAAAAGTGAGCATCAAATTTAGAAAAAGAAAAGTTGATTTGTGCTCCAACATCAATTTATAACCTTACCCTTGTAAATTATTGGCTCAACATCACAATTTATTTACGAAATGAGCGGAAAAGAAAGACGGCGGATTGTTGAAAATAATTTGGTCATTTGGGTCGATAGAAATATTGATGAAACAAATCAAGATTGTCAAAATTCACTGATGCAATTGCGTAGTGTCGTTAATGCAGTGGAAACATGCACCACAACAGAAGCGTGCATTCAATATCTCAACGAAAGTAACGAAGAGACAGCATTCGTCATATCCTCAGGAGCGCTTGGCCAAAGAATGGTGCCAGATATTCATGGTATATCAAAATTAAATGCCATCTACATCTTTTGTCCTAACAAAGATCAAAATGAAGAATGGGCTAAAAAATGGTCGAAAATAAAAGGTATCCATACCTCAATCAAGTCCATATGTGAAGCTCTGGCAATGGGAGTCAAAGAATCCAATCAAAATAATATATTGGTTAGTATTATTACTACAAATGAAGGAGGCTTCAGTGAAGATCTTAATCAACTGGAACCTACTTTCATGTATTCTCACATCTTCAAGGAAATTCTCCTTGATATGAAACATGATCAACAAGCCATCAAAGATTTGGCCACCTATTGCCGAGAATTATATATGAAGAATGATGTTGAAACAAAAAATATCAATGAATTTGAATACAATTATCAACCATCACAGGCCATTTCGTGGTACACACGTGAGTGTTTCACATACAAAATGCTCAATAGTGCACTAAGAACACTCAACGGTGACATTATCATTAGAATGGGTTTTTTTCTTTGCGATGTACACCGACAAATAGAAGCTTTACACAAAGAACAGGCCAATCAGTATCATAAGTCATTTTCAGTTTATCGAGGCCAGGGATTATCGATTGTTGATTTCAATAAACTCGCACAAAGCAAAGGTGGACTGATGTCATTCAACAATTTTTTATCCACCAGTACAAAGCGACAAGTCTCCTTCAATTTTGCTAACTGTGAATCAAGAAAAAAGGACATGATCGGTATTCTTTTTGAAATGACCATAGATCCCAAGGTGTCATCCACTCCGTTCGCCTCCATTCGTGAGGCGAGCAAATTTGCGGAAGAAGAGGAAATTCTCTTTTCCATGAATACAATTTTTCGAATTGGTGACATTCGAAAACTTGACAATAACCGTCCACTTTATGAAGTCGAACTTAAGCTTACATCAGATGATGACCAAAAACTTCGTCAACTAACTGATCGTATACACAAAGAAGTTTCAGGTTCGACAGGCTGGGACCAATTGGGTCAATTGCTGCTCAAAATTGGGCAATTCGACAAGGCCGAAGAATTGTATACAGCACTACTTGAGCAAACTTTGAACGACAATGAAAAAGCACATGTCTATCATATGCTTGGAATGCTGAAAACATGCCAAGGACAATACAGAGAAGCAGCTTCATTTTACGAAAAATCGCTTGAAATCTACCGGAAAACTCTTCCGGAAGATGATCCTTCATTAGCTACTACCTACAACAATATTGGTCTAGTATATAACGAAATGGGTGATCGCTCGCAAGCACTTCAATTTTACGAAAAAGCACATAAAATCTACGAAGAAGCTCTCCCACCAGATGATCCTGAGTTTGCTAATTCCTATAACAACATCGGTGGAGTGTATAAAGATATGGGTGACTACTCGAAAGCACTAGAATTTTACGAAAAAGCACTTAAAATAGATGAAAAAACTCTACCTCCAAATCATCCCGATTTGGCTATTTCCTACAGCAACATCGGTTCGGTATATAGCAAAATGGGTTATTATTCGAAAGCACTCAAATTATACGAAAAAGCACTTCAAATAAGAGAAAAAGCTCTGCCTCCGAATCATCCCGATTTGGCTGAATCCTACAACAACATCGGTCTAATATATAAAAACATGGGTGACCATTCGAAAACACTTTCATTCCTGGAAAAGGCACTGGTTATCTTGCAAAAGTCTCTTCCACCTACGCATCCTCATATACAAAGAGTGAAAACATCCATTAATAATGTAAAAAAGATGTAAAAATGCTTTTTTTCTGGTGCTCTGCTCGATAAATCTTCTTTTTGTATTACTATTCGCTAATTTCAAGTTTTGCTTTCGCTCTTGTTCGCATGTACGCACGAGTGCGTTGGAGGCATTGCATGAGAGAGACGACTCGGATGACGGATCATGTGCTCAACTGATATCACCAATTTCAATGAAACTTTCTCTGTATGTTGCCCTAAGTGAGATATGAAAACACCTCAAATTTTTTCTTCTAAAATCTTTCCCCTGTTGAGATATTGAAATCACAATGAAGGCACCCTCAACTTAAAAATAACAGGTGTGGATGTGCGTGGAGTGTGTTAATGAAGAGATAACTCGCATCCACACGCCTACACCCATATCCATATCTGACCCAATGGTATAAATATATATTGGACATACTTTTTTATCGAACAGAATAAATTGGTTGAATAAAATTATCAACTCGTTCTCTATCTATTTATCATTAATCTTCTTTTTATCACTTGTTTTCATGTACTAAACAATTCCTCGAAACTAGTCAGTCATCTTACTTTCATATTCATTTCTTTCGTTTGTAGATTCTCGTTTCGTCGAAAAATTTGATACATTCTTTTTTTTTCATCATTCTCGTTTCATCGAAAAATTAAGTTGTAATGAAAAGAGTATTATCAAAGCGATAAGCTCAATATCTATGATTGACTTGAACTATTTTCTTAGAAAGAAACTAATTGATATCCCTATACTATTAATCTGAAATTTTGTAAAAGTATATATATGTGGAGTAAAAGGGACAATTCAGTTTTTTTGCTATATTCATTATTAAACAAAAAGATTCTATCTATTGTTGAAAGTAAGCATAATAAACCAACTGTATTACTTGATGCTTTTCGCTACACACAGGATAAAATTTTTAACACAACTATTTATTGGAAATGTGAAAATCGTTCATGTCCTGGACGTACTATACAATATGGTTCAAATCCACCAAGCATGAAGAAACCACATAATCATGATGCTGATAAAATGAAATGCAAAGTGGAAGAATTTAAAACGACGTATTGAAGATTCACCACAAACAGTGAAGAAAATTTATAAAGAAGAATTAATATCATTATATACAACGGCACCACAAATTACACCATTTACATCAATGTTTCATGAAATTAAAACTTCATTATATAAAGCAAGAAATGCAAGTTATCCACCTGCTCCACGTACATTTGATGATGTTAATGTCGAAGGAGTATGGAGTAAAACTTTAAATGGGGAACAATTTGTTTTTAATAATTCAAAACATCCAATATTCGGGACATTAGAATCTCATAAGCAATTATCGACAAGTGATAATGATCGTTTATTTTTTGATGGGAGGTTTAAATCATGCCCAAATCCATTTTATCAATTATATTCAGTTCATTCGGTAAATGGTGAATTATCAACATCAAAATTATATACTTTATTACCTGATAAAAAAAGGTCCAACATACATTTCCATTTTTAATAGTATATTAAATTTATGTCATATGAACAATATTTGTTTAAATCCAAAATTTGTTACAATTAATTTCGAACAAGCTGCTATTAATGCCATTAAATTAATTTTTCCAAATGCTATTATTAAAGGATGTAACTTTCATTTCAACAAATGTATTTATACCAAATTACAAGATTTAGGATTTCAATCTGCATTTATCAACAATAAATCAAGCGATATAAATGAAATTAATATAAGAAATCTCTATAAAAAAAAACATGTGCACTTGCATTTATGCCACCACAAGAAATTAGTAAATTATGGGTAATGATAATAGATGAATATCAAGATATTGAAAATATCGAAGATTTTTATGATTATGTAACAAATACATGGATAGACGATGATGCTTTATTCGATTATATATTATGGAATTATTATGATTTTAAAAGTTCAACAACTAATAATCATCTCGAAGGATGCCATCATCGATTAAATAATGATTTAAATAATGTTGTACATCCACATTTTTATTTATTCATTCTTGCAATTCCAAATGATTATGCTTATAACTCACCAATATCATCACGTCATTTAGCAACTGGTATATTACCTCCACGAAAAAAGTTATTTGTAAATCGAAATGCACGATTACATAATTTAGGGGTGGGTGTGGGTGTGGGTGTGGATGTTTCTTTTCTGGCACATCCCTACCCCCGGCCCCCCCCCCCCCCCCCCCCCCCCCCCCCCCCCCCCCCTGTGCGTTCCCCCCNCCTTTCCGGCGTTTCTAAGAAACGGTCGATCGAAAATTCCTGAAACTTTCAGGGTAGGTAGGTCTCGAGTAGTAGAGTAAAAGTTATCATGGGCACAAATTTGCCAGACCTCATCTTCATGGGCTTCCAGAGGCCCCAAGGTCAAAAACTTGCAAAAAGTTTCCCCCCCCGGAAATCCACAGATTTCATCCGTTTGAGCTGAAATTTTTACTGTGGGTAGACGGACCCAATCGGGGTGGCCGTTTTTTTTTTCAAAAATTCCAAATACTTCAGGCTAAAGAAGCAAAATACTGAAGACTTCCCAAAATCTCTAGGTTTTTTGGATCCTAAAAATTTTGCAAACCCTGCCAAACTTGATTAGTAGAAGATATCCAAAAAAAAAACGGCCAATCCAAACCACTTGAAGTCTCACCAAAAAAAATTTCAGCCCGATCGCACTTGAAATGGCGGAGAAAAAGGGGGAAAACTGCTTTTTGATACCCAAAAAACTAGTTTCGAGAAAAATGCAAAATAAAAAAAACTTTTAGAAAAATTTTTTTTTCCGCTTATACGTAAGTATAGGTATACCATATCATAATATAACTTTATGTTAAAAAAAAAAAATTTTTTTTTAATGCATGGGTCTCCAAGAAACCTGGTTTTCCAGAGACTTTCCGACCTTTGATGGTTCTGATTTTTGTAGTACACATAGAGGGGACCTTGATACACCTTTACACGAAAAAACAAAAATCGAAAAAAATCTTTTTGGCTCAGGAAAGGGGGGGGTCCCCTTAAATGAGCATCCAAAATTAAGTTTTATTCTCCTACTCCATGATTGTGTATATTCACGTCTATAACAATATTCTGACGATAACAATAATGATCACAAAAGCAAAGCAAAATGAAGAAAATAATATGCAAGAAATAAGAAATTCAAAAGATAGTAATTATTTCGTCGGAGAGCTGTTTAAACAGCGTTGAAAAAATTCTTATTTGAAGATAAAAATAAAATTGCCATATAAAACATTTGCATAAAAACAATCTGTCTAGTTGCTATTGTACAAACAGTTAATGTGGATTGATGAACGACAACCTGGTTCAAGTCATTAAGATGAACAAAAATTAATAAAGTAAAATATCTCTTGCTTGCACAACTTTTTTTTTTGCGTGGAATTGGAGTCCGCTGTTTCTTCCTTGATTGATATGACACCACATAAGCCTCTGTATATTTATGTGTATCAAGATTTTTCAATATTGGGCAATTGCCATACTCCTGACTACGCCATTGTAGTTATTGCATTATAAAATAAAACGATCAGACAATTTCTTATCTTTCACGAAAACTCTGAAATCTGATTGGACTCATACACGACAATCAACCATAGCTATATGCAATCTCGAATTGAACTTTGTTGCATCAGATCGAGTGTGAATTTCACTTGGAAATATGTCGCCTTTTGTAGAATGTCTGTTTTCAATGATTTACTCCGGTTTTTTCTGCATCATGTTTCACAGCTGATTCAAAATTAATGAGCCTCATAGATATTCTTCTATATTATTCAACCCTTCAATTGAGGTTATTTTAATAATAACAAAAAGATTTTGAATAATTTTGGACCAGCATACGACATGATGGATTTGTTTAGGCAGTTTGGATGAATAATTGTATCCACCAACAAATAGATGTAAGATTTCATGAACTATAACTTCAGTTAGTAAGAAAAATCTATCACATTATAACTTTCACTTTATAGCAACGTTTTCAGGCTTATCTCCTCTATTTTACCAACATAAAAAACCGCCAATAAAATGTAAAAACCAATTGATAATGCACTCATACTCTTTAACATAGTTCGACTAAATTGCGAGAGTTATGCAATGAATAAGATTCAATTTCTCGTGTTAATTTTTCTTTCTTTTTAATATCACATGAGAAATAAAATAATACAAAACTTTTGCCGAATTAATACAAGACTGTTTCTGTTATTGCATTTGGCATAAGAATATCAAGTACACTAAACTTTTAATAAATGTTGCTGATACTGTATTGATCTGAGTCCAATAACAATTATCGATGTTTATTAAAACAAACGTATCAGTAAAGAATACTTTGTGCAAGATACTGATTTAGAAGAATTAATGAAGCAAGTTATTTGTAGACGAATGGTATATATGTATATTGAATTTCGATGAAATTTTATTAACTCTTTATTCCACATAGCAGTTCCAGAAGAGCCGCTGATGAAACAACGAATTACTGTAAAAACCTTAAACTAGGAAGTATCGAAAAAGTAAAATCTCATAAGATGTTCTCTCATTGGATTACCATTTAGAACGTTTCAGGTAAACATTTCAATCAAAATTAAGAATTTTTCTTTTGATTTCCGTCCGCCCAGTCTTGAGAATGGGAGTGTGAAAAGATTATCCAAACACTTACCCAAATCTTAGTTCGAAATTTGTTAATGTCGAAAAGCTTTTCTCGAGTTTTTCACATCAAATCGAAACAACCATTGAAACAGAGTATTGATGTCTCCGATATATCAATAGTATTGATAGATTGATCAGACACAGCCTTGTTTACGGCGGCAGTTTGTTCACTCCAGTAACCATTGGACAAGCAACAATTCCACCGGAGGTTTTCCATAAATCTGACGTGATTCGACCAAGAAGAAACAACTCAGAGAGCTCGGACACGTCTCATTTTGTGAAGGATTGTTCACTTTATCATTACTTGTAGTAGAAACAGACTTTATAACCAATTTGTTGTCGTGAAACTTTCAAATAGTATTGATATTAATAGTATCAATGGCGATCGTTGCATATTAAACAACATGTTTCAATGATGTATCTTGTCTATTGTCAGGAAAACATTTGATTGCAAAAAAAAAGTTCAACTTCTCTAGTTTTCCCAAACTTATCAAATTTGCAACTCATCTTCTTCAGAGATAAAACAACACAATAAAAAACTTTTATTAGTTGATAGTTTATGGAATTCATCACAAGACGTTTTCCCGAAAGTTTTCCAATTTTGTTGCATTTATTTTCTAGAATCTTTCTATAAATCTTCACGCAAGTGACCAAGGGACAGGATTAGAAAGTTGACATTTAGATGCACCTGTTATACTTTGGGATAGAATTGATTTTTGAATGAGAATACAAAACTTTCAAAGTTAGAAAAGTCGTCACACAAAGCTAGATATGGACAAGATCATTTCATATTCGGCTATATTGCCACAACTAATGTGTTCTAAATATATATGAGCAAGATGATCTCGACTCCAGTGGGATCGGGACGATAAATGACCAGTCTTGCTCCTCTTTACACGCAACTGGTAGCACAATATTTACTCAGAGTTCGAAACAAAAGATAAATGAAACGTTCTAGAGGTAAAATCAAAAAACATATTTGACAATGTGCACAGCAGCTAACATTAGCCGACCGGAGACACTAGTGACTCGCAAGCTTTTGGTGGCGAAATCTGATTGGGTTGGTGCAAAATTCGAACGAGTTTCCAGTGTTTTCGCTCCGCTAGTGACAGCTAATATTTAAAATATGTAGAAACCGTGATGGAAAACCATTTCGATGTTGTTCTAATTGAAATGAAATAAAACAAAAGGAGATGTTGATAATAATTTCAAATGTTCTGTTTTCAACATGTTCAACAAGATTACGCATGAGAAAACGAAGAAAATCTGAATTAATTTGTAGGAAAGAAAATACACGGATTAGCATATGTAAAAGAAGAGCATAGAATTTGCTTTATTATTTGATGAATTAAATTGTCTACATTTTACAGTTTTAAGAAAATTAGCTTTATTAAGAAAGTAAAAAGTTCATCGATTTTAATTATACTACTATAGAACATTCTTAAACATAATTTCTGTTCTCTTATCTCTTTGCTTTTTAGTGAATTATCTTATTATAAAAAGAAATCAACAATGAACGTTTTTAGAAATTAAATTTACCGGACAAACAATGTTTTTGAACAAAAGAAACTCAAAAAAAAAAAAACAGCAATTATACCAACAACATGTTTGAGTCTGATGAAATTCTGTCCAAATGCTCTATGACTAAATATGCTTTTCGCTTTAATAGATTTCACAAGGATTTACAATAAAAATTTAAAAAAAAAAACAGTAAATCATGATGTGTATAATTATGCATCTTTCTCATACAAGCATATGGGTTCTTTTACAAGAGTTACCGACTGTAGAGATTCGCGTAATGTTGGACATGTTTCTTCTTGATTTTTTTTCTTTACAAGTTTCTGTTTGTTGAGAATCCTATTATTCGACCTTTCCTAGAAAATAAAAATAAGTAAAGCAAACTATATTTGTAAAATTAAAACAATAGTTCTAAACGAAATATACGTTTATAGTTAACTGAACAAATACCGAGGACATAGTATAGAGGTTTATTAATTCTTTTTTTTTTTCGAATGAATTTTCAGTAAGCTTTAAAGGAGTTTCTATACAGAATTGTAAATGCTATAATTAGTCTTTTTAGTAGTTCGTATGAATAGCAATAACTTTATCTGTCTTGTTTGAATACCTTCGCTGGTTTTTTTGTACATTTCTTTTTTCCTATTTCCGCCAATGTACTGAATAATTCAATTTTATAAAAAACAAATTATACATATATAAATACTATTTTATTCGATTTACCTTGCATAATGAGCTAGATTTGTACAAAATTCATTCCATCTAAAGAATAAAAGTAGTCAATAGATGAATCAATATGTCAAACTTACAATGCAACTTTATATTCTGATAATTTTTCTGACGTTAATAATTGTATTGATGTCATATTTATTGGCTGTATATTTGCCATTTGTTCATCATCAACATGTATCATAAATTGTTGTGGTGTAAATACTTGATCACAAGTAAAACAATGTATACAACGATAATCTGGTTCATTAAACCATGTTGGAAACAATTGTCCCATAGTATCAATTTTTTTATTTAAATATGTTTTTGTATGTCGTACCACAAGTTTAGGTATTTTATCCATATTAATAGGACTATGTTTAACAATAGCTTGTGATATATCAATACTTTCAAAAAATGTATTTGGTAATGTTAATTCATTAGGTGTGTTTGGTGGACTTATTACTGTAGAAGAATTTTGTACAACAGTTGGTGATACTGTATGATAAGCATTTGTTTTATTTTTTATTTCATTTGTCGATGAATTTTGAGAATAATGAGACGGAATAAATGGTGGAAGAAAAACATTTTTTGGTGCTGGATATGGATTTGATTGAAGTCGACGTTCTTTTCGATTATTAGATAATAATGGATTAGAATTTTTTAATGTCTCTGAATGATTACGTTTTAATAAAGGTGAAACTGTATATTGTGAATGAATCATTCGTTCATTTGGAGAAATATTTTTCGATATAGAAGGTTTATCATCATTTATTGATTGACCAGAACAACAAGGTAAACAACATGGCATTGATACTGTTTGTTTTTCGAGTGTTAATGAATGATTATAATTATTATTAATTCGTTTTTGTGCGAATGGCATCATAGTTGGAGAAGATAAATTTAAATTTGTCTGGGAAGAATTATTATTTGATGATGATATTAATTTTGGTTGTATAGATTGATAATTAGAAATTAATTCTTTCGGCTTGTCATATGATGATGAAGATAGATAAGATTTTTGATAATGAAGATCATATGGCATTGGTGTTAGATAGTAAGGTGAAGATTGAAATGAATGAGGATAAGAAGATGGAGTAGATTTCTGTTTTGATACCGGCAACATAGTATTATTTATTGATGATTGTTGAGAAATTGATAGAGGTATTTCATCACCTAGAATTTGTTTGTTTTTTAGATAGGACGTGACAAAAGTGGTGATAGCAGAACTATAATACTTAGAGAAAATGTATTTCACTTCTATATTTAAGTATGTACTGTACTATATTTTATTCTTAGAAGCCTAGTTTCACGCCTGAGAATAGTTGAAAAATCATATGAATGGTTTTATGAAGGATGAGACGATGTTAATGATTCGACCAATCGGTAACAGAAGAACATGTGAACAAATCGAATAGATCCATTACCTTATTAATGATGATCCTCATATTATAATTGATGAATTTCAAGTGCACATTGATTTAAGTGATAGCGCCATCCAACGAATAATCTTCGATCATTGTAAGTTGAAAAAAACTTACCACAAGTTGTAAATAGTAACAATTCGTCTTGATGGTTATTATGAAAGATATGGTCAGAATTATGGATCTACTAGGTCGTTCTTCGCCTTCAATCTCTTCTCACTCTTCATCATATTATCTTTCAATTGTTCTCTGAGATGGAACGTGGCCATCAATATTAAAATATAGTGCCGTACAGTAGAGTCCATCAAGTTCAAAAGTTTTAGACCTAGGCTCGACCAGTTTCGTTTCAGAGATGAACAACTTTAAACAAAATTTTAATATTATCATATTAACTAAAGAATGATGAAATACTGAAGCATTATAGAGTTTTGTTCAAACTGTCAGTATACATATAGAGAAAATTTTCTCTAGACTTCTTTCAGGTATTATACTAATACTAATAAAAAAAAAATGTTATTCTAATAAAATGTATTTGTACCTGACATTAATCACTAAAGCGTTATACGAAGTCAACTAAATTTTTTGCCGACTCGATAAGACATTACTGGAATCTCGAAAATGCATCAATTTGTAGGATAAATATCAAAGAACAAAATCTACTATTCATAAAAAAGTTCGTATTTTAAAACTGAATTTTCGTCAAAAAAAACTTTGTTGACTTCATGCAGGTCTCCTATTAGTCACCATAGCAACTGTACTTAGTCAGTTGTTAGAAAGGTTTCGGTATGTCACAAGATCTTGGTTGAAGACTATAGAAAACAAGATTGTTTGAAAATCGAGAAATATAGATTTGACTCTCAGCATTACTTTCATAGAATCAATAAAATACAGATTCAATCAAAAGAAAGATTTGTTTAATTTCTCCAAAAGATGAATAAACAAAATACTTGCCTCGAAAATTCCAATTGAATCTTTGTCGTATAGATTTTTCAACTTAAGTATATAAAATTTTCTTTAATTAGTTTTTTTTGAATAAAAAGAAAAATGAATTGTAAATCTTTAACTTATCAGCTTAAGATTTTTTTTTGTTTTATTCTTAATCTGTTAAAGATGATATATTTTTTCAAATAAAATTAATCTTACTTTGAGTATTTTGATTATTAATACGAACATTTTCTTCAACATTAACAATCAGTGGCATTGAATAATTATCATCAATTACATCATTTGATTTTTTTGCTGTTGATGAAGATTTTAACATAATATTATCTTTTATATGAAATTTAACTGATGGTAAACTACATGAACGAGAAGAAAGTCTTTTAATTGGTTTTTTATTATGTATCAAAGATTTTGAACGATGTAAATGACGTAATAAACTAGTTGTTGGTGATATTAAAAAAGAATTTGCCGGTATAGATAAAGGATTTGTATTACTATTAAATGAATCAAGAATACGTCGCTTTAATGAAGTATTTGGAATTGATGAAGATGAATATTTTTCAGATTTATTACGTGAATGTCGTATTAAACTAAATGTAGAAGATTAAAAATTTAACAAAAAAAAAAAAAAAAACAGAAGCAAAGATTATCTTTAATCTATATATGTCAAAAACAAATGATGACATTGACAAGTTAGTAAAAAAAAAAACATGATAACTTCTTTTCATGTATTACATTTGAAAATGACATAAAACCCATCTTTTAATCTGTCAACATTTATTTATTTTAAAATCATTGGTAGTTTAGATAAATTAAAACCACTCATTTATTGTAAAGACTAACTACCAACATACTTTATAATTAAAATTATTATCAAATAAAATACTCAACTCGGACTAATACTTGAGATTTTGAAGTCAAGATGAGAGTGATCTTATGAAACATGGTGTAAAAGGAGCGCTGTAGTATATGGACCTCCGTCTATCACCATCCGTAACAAACGTTATTGATATGCGACAGAGATCGTATATCAATAATACCTCCTTATAATATATCTAATACTTGCTTATTGTATTTCTGAAGGATCAAGTAAAAAAAAAAGTGTATCCGAAAATCGATAGAATAAAATAATCTCTCGGTGAATAACAACAGTAACTATGCTGTGTTTCATATTTTAATCCTGGAGGAATTGTGCTAACAGCTATTTGTAATAGATTCTCATTTTTTATAGTTTTTCTCGGAAATTTGAATCTTTCTATAGTATAAAATAATGTACGAAATTTCTCTTACATATGTATATATAGAGTTACAATATGTTGATCTTTGACATTAATACATGAAATGATCTACATGTTTCATTTTCGAATATTAAATCTCCATCGTCAAAAAAAGGTAACGCGTGCAATATAAAACATACTTCACATGAAATAGTGAAAAGAAAAGTATAATGAGAAAACTTATAAGTAATAGTGAACAGGTCTTGAATAAGTTAAAATTTTTAAATAGCATTGAGACATGGCATTGAAACAAGAAAAAAAAAATTATTTTATTTTATTTTTTTAAATTAAATTCAACTTTAACCTATGACGTTTTGGATTTATTTTTTCTCGAATATTATGAAATCTATGAATATTTAAAGATAAAATTCTTATTTAATTTTATAAAATATCATGAAAAATAAAACTTCAACATTTTTTTTTTCTAATACTTCTTTTTGAAAATGTTTTTTTCAACCTTACCAATGTACTCTTTTGTAAAAACAAGACGATTGTTGACTATCAAATATTAAAATACGCTTCGGAAGTATTCATCTTAAGAATGTTTTTGTTTTTAGATTATAAAATATTCATTCAAATAGAAATAAAGTGTTAATCTTAGCATAAAAAGTCGGATATTTATTATATTCTACCTATTATTTTTTTATGCACGATAGGGTCATATAGGAAATATGACAAAAAAAGAAAAGTATCTCTGAAATATAGAATTAGTTTTTTACTTATAAGAACTTTTTACTTCAGACGTAATGAGATTGCCTTGATAAATTGAAAAGAACCTTGTTTTTTTTTCCTGTAGTTGTTGTCAGAAGTGTGTTAGTGAAGTTTATATAAAAAAAAACTATTCTTTTTTTTCTTTTTTTTTAAGTAGCCTTATTATAAAAAAAGAAAAACAAACCGACGTACTTATTATGCGAATTTTGTTCTGATTGAAATTTATTATTATTATCATCATTGTTTTTTTTTATTAATGCAGATTTCGGTATAATTTTTGAATAAATATTTGAAATAGACATTGATGATGATGTTTCATTTGTTGAATTTCTATTACACTTATCAAGATTATTATATGGAATAAAAGTTCCAAATTGAGACGATTCATTTGATTGTTTTTTCTTTGGAGAAGTTGGTAAATGTTGACATTGTTTATCATCATTATTAGTTTCCATACGTTCTGTAGATACTGATGATGGTGAAACTAAAATAGAATATGTACTGCAAAACGAAAGATTTGCTTGTTTTTTTTCATCTTCTTACTTTTGTTGTTTAACGGAATAGACGTTGATGTTTGTTTATAATAAGGCATTTCTTGAATGATTTTTTCCAGAGATTTGTCACATTTATTTAATAATTGTTTTAATTTAGTTAAATAATCGAAGAAATTTATTGACAAAAGATGATAACGCGTACGATTAAATGCTTTTAATAGAGAATTTTGTTGTTCAATAGAGATTTTTTCCGATAATGTTACTGTTTTAAGAACATTTCTATCAATTCCTTCCAATAAATATATAAATTCATCGAATGTACATAAAGATGAAAATACTTTTATATAAAGATCTTCAACACAATAATATATTGAACCCATACGTGAGATAGTTAATATAGTAGATGCTTCAAATGAAATATATGATAGAATACAATCAATAGGATTATCATCAATAGAAAAATCTTTATGATTGTCAAATGCATTAGATGCAGGCATTTTTTTACGTTTAGATAGGGGTTTAATTCGTTGTTGCTGAAGAGGTTTTTGTCGCATAAAATTTGTATCTACAGTAATATTTCGATTAGATCTATTTGATTTTGCTAATTTGTTCGAAGTTTGTGAAGAATGACGAAAAATTTTTGATCTAGTTTTTGATTCACTTGCAGAAGAGTTAATGAAATCTTTAGTTTCTATTTTTAATTGTTCACCTGAATATTTATCGAAAAAATCGAAAGTTGTTTTTTTTTCATTGTTTTGTAACAATAAAATATTACCTTCCGTTGAAATTCTTTCTGAAATAATTTCTTGTTCTTTTTTATCATTTAATAAAATATTATTTGAATTTATCTTTGATACTGTTGTTGTTGTTGTTGTCGTTAAATCGACAAATTCAGATTTATCATCGTCACCATCATCACTATTATCATCATCAAGGACAACAAACAATGGCTCATCAATAATATCCGTCGTTGATATTAAATTGCTATTAGTATTTTTATTTTCATTATCATCTAAACGAAAACATGATATTAATCTAATAGATAAAAATTGGTGTAGGTGTATCACTTCAATACATATTTCTGTGTTATCAGATTCTTCACTAAACACTTCATCAGCTATTTCAAGCATCTGTTTTCCTTTCCGAATACTCGAATATTATTAATTTTCTAATTAAAATGTAATTATATGGTTGTTTGATAAAAAGAAAAATAGTGTTGTTTATCTCTTATCTCATAGGGCAGTCATAGAATGTCACGGTAAGTCAATGTATATGTGCAAAAGCAAAGAATATTGTAAAAATAAGCAAGACACTTGTTTTTTATTTCAGGCCTATTGGAAAGAAAATTTATTGGACTCATTCATCCGTCATACTTTATTTCAAAGAAATACAATGAATAATAAAGTATGACTCAATATATTTCTGTTCATTAAAAACTTTATGATAACAGAAATCAATATAAACGTAATAAATATATGAAAAAGAATGGTTATATAAACAAATAAGCCTATTATTCGACTTCATATAAATCGCAGCAAAAATTATATTATTCGATGCTTTTCGTTTACTCATAAATGCATTTTTTTATTTAACTTACCATATGACATGCTTAAAATTTAAATGAAAATAACAATCGTTTCAGTTGAATTGCGACGATAAATAACAGTAAATGCTAAATAAAACTGCTTTTCTATTCTTTATTGAGTATTTTCTTTGTAAAATGACAAAATGTTTTGTATCGTCGCTTTTTATACTATTTACGCATGAATACACACAATGATTTTGAAACAAGATAATGCATTGCAATCTTCTTATTTCTGCAATCGATCATGACAATTTTCTCTTTTTCTATTCAAATGTAAATGCTGTCATCCTTGACTACGCTGATTGGAATATAATTTATCTACGTTTACCAATACGATTTTTGTATTCGTTTTTGCTTGTGTTTATTCGAAGAGAAAAACGATGGTAATTTCCGGGGCTACATATGACGTCTGTGCACAGTATCATCGCTATCGTCAATCATTCGTATGCAGAATCAAGGTAGCGTCATGTATGTGTCCAGGTAAGCGAGCATAGAAGTATATATATGTATTGATATTAGATAGCGATCTAACTGCGCAAATTGTAGTAGCTGAGAATTGTGAAATGTTGCATGTTAATAGTGCATAGAAAAGTGAATTTACAATATATAGAAGGAAAACAAATACTATTTTACGAATCCTCAATAAGTATTATTCAACAGATAAATGTACTTATATTTGAATTATTCACTATTTAAATCAAAATTTAATTTTTGTTTAAAAAGAACTTTTCTAAAAATATAAAAAGCCCTAGATTGTATGTTTATATCTATTTTCATATGGTACGAAAAAAAATCCTTTTTTCTTTCTCCCGTTACTTTTATTTATTCGTATGTGCGAATTACACAAACCAAGGATATTTCTCCTTTTCCTTCATTTACATTATCTTTCGTTTTTTTTATGCATGACATTTTTACCGATGCATGACGTTTCAAACTCAACATGTATCGTTTCTATGCTATCAAAAACCAATATTACTGTCCCGTTTGATGTTTTTCATTTGAAATAAACAAAAATGATAAGATAAGAAAGAAAAGAAGAGCAAGTGTGTCAATTATCCAATATAGAAATTTGAGAAAGGAATGTCAGTGCACCTAGAAATTGTATCTTGAATAGATAATTTATAACCATAAAAAAAAACAAACATTTTCATTCGCGAATGTGAATTATACAATAGAAACTATATCTTTATATTTATGTATCTTATATATGATTAACTGTTGCAAGATTCAAAGAATTTATATATACTTCAAAGTTTTATTCAAACTATTTTCGATAAAATATCTGTCCTATCAAAAGCATTACTACAACAGGACTAATAACAACTCAATTCAAGCTTTTTACAGTTATAAAACTCAAACTGCAAGTTAATCAGAGTAAAAAAAGTATAATGAATGGCTCATTTATTATGGCTACGTGAAAATTATTAAAATACAAAATCGGTCTCACAAAAAAGTTTTCTGAAGAAAAATTGATTAAATTCAGGATATGTATGAACATTTATTCAAATGCATTATTCGATTTGTTTTACAAGCTTATTTCGTATTTTGTAAATAACAATGCATGAAATGATGATAGAACATTTCTCTGTGCTAATACTATTGAATACAAAATGTACTCAGTAAGCCGACTAGAAAAAAATCAAAGTGCGCTTCATTTGAATCGAATAGTCAATAAATTAAAAGTTAAACATGGCGTACACAAGATATTCAATAAAGATCTTATTAAAATGAAATTGATTTCAAAGACAATTCTATACAATAGGTTTTTTTATATATTTTATTGTGAATAAATAAATTAAAATATTTCTATTAAACCTGATCATTTTGAACAGCAATTCTATATGAAATAGCCTCCAATGAAATTAAAATATTTGTCGAATGAAACTGAAAATTGCTTCAACGACTAAAGATCTATTGACATTCTTTTCTTTTTCCTAGTTAAACTTGTGGAATATTCTATACACTTCTACTGTTTATATAACTTATGAACGAAAATGTCCAATTCTTTCGTTTCCATATAATAAAAAAAAAACACGAATTTCTCTATAAACTAACATTGAACTTACCTTGTTCTCGCTTATAATTCATATACGAAGTCGAGTTATGCATCCAAAAAAAGTCCTTTTTTTATAAAGTAAACTTTGCAAAATGCTCGTGTCTAAAAAACAATCCCTGAATAAATATTTGTTCTTTCAAATGGTATATTATTCTGCCCTAGCAAAGAAAAACGTAAACAATATTATTCAAGCATCGTCAATCAATCTGTATAGAATGCGCAGCCTTAAAACAAACGAAACTATTTGTCAAGTGAGAAAGGACTCTATTCCATTAAATTATGCCATGAAATTTTGCCTTTGTAAATAAAAAAGTGTCAAATGTATTGAGGCATGTTTCACAAAAAACGAAAAAAAAGCAATTTCGTTTTGCATTTGAATTTCATTACAAAAACATCTTTTATCCAATTTCAAGATTTGTACTTTGTTTTCATGTATTGTGAATGCAGTCCTATACTGACGATTTGATTAATTCCACATCATATTTCAAATACTTATATATGTACTTAAGAATGTTTGCACTTACTTTCAATAAGAGTTTTCATCTATATAAAAAAGCAACTTGTATGTAAAGGTGTACGATGCATAAAACACCTTAAAAAGATCAGATTATCAATTTTGGATGATACAGTTGTGAAGAATATTGAGATCAGAAGTCTAATAGTATTTTATCTGATGAGTATTTTTTTCTTGCATTACAGTTATTTTTTATAATGTTGCTCACCTATGTTATGACATTCAGCCCCCCCCCCTCCCGCTGCTCAGACAATCCATTTTTCGGTAAAGTAATCGAACTCGAGTTTTTATCATAGGAAGATGCAGCGAAGTTTCCTCTTTCAGAATATATATAAGTTTTTTAAAAAAGGCCAAATTTGTACAGACTTTCGTAGGAGATTTCCACCTCACCACCCGATTTTCGGAGAGATTTTGGCGGTTTTTTGTTATTTTGGGGAAGGCTAGTTTTTTACTTCTATCAGCATGGAAGAAACATTCTTATATCATATAGTACGACCTGTAGTGCTAGCTTACGCCATCTATTGCATGCATTCAAAAATCTCACATAAATATTATCAATATACCATTATTTCCTGCATTTGAATGAAAAAATCCATTTCTAAAACTTAACGTTTTTCTCAAAACATTGTTTTCAGACAGGAAAATTGAAATATGTCTCGCTTGACTCGGAGGTGTCCCCGATATTTTTTTTTATTTTAAAGATCTCGACGAAAGATAACTTTTGATCGGACCGATTTTTGATACTTGACTCCTGGACTAAGAAAAGTCGGATTTACTGTTGTCCGTTGACCATTTTTAGGCCTACTTTGAAAGTAATATCCACTGAAATGCTTATAAAAAATGAATGGGAGGGAATTTAAAAATTCTGCCCTATGAAAAGTTGCGCATAGAGGCTAGCTTTAATTTGAAACCAGCCCGACCTCGATACCTCTTATAGCCATGAAGTCATTTCGATTCTTGTGGAAGCTATAAAACAAGCCGGAAGTCCAGTTTAGTAAGGTATATAAGGCTGAAATTTTTACCATAAGCGTTTCTCACTAGTATCACTCATTCCTAAAAGTTTTAGCCCAAACGGACCGTTCTAAGTGGAAAGTCGATTCTGAGGGGGGGGGGGGGGGGCTTAATAGGTTCTAGAAAAGAACTAGACTTTCTATAAGAAATGTTTCGATTAAAGTATGTTCCTCGTATTTAGCTTTCAGTGTTATAGAATAGTTCAAAAGTATAACTGTAGATCAATGAAGAGACTCAATAGACATAAATTTTATTGAAACTTGTCGAATATTTAAAAGAAAAAAAAATAAGGTTCTATTTCAACAGTGATTTTATCATTTTATAGTTTTCCTCATAAAAGTGAGAGTATCATAATATTTTCCATTTTCATCGATGCATTTAAAAACTAAGACACTATCCAACATTTCTAAAACGAACATTATGCTTCTCTAATTTCACATTCACATTGAAAGAAGTTGACATCACCGACTTAATGCAACCATTGCTATCTTCAATCCAAACTTTTATGTAGTGATTGATAAATTAGAAAAAGATTGTTATTCAACGTAGCGACGATGTTGAGCTCGTCAGATTCGAACCGCACTTTACTACTCTCAATGAAATTTTCTAATCGGAATACAAAATGCTTTGTATTTGATGATTAGCGCACTCTATACATGTTTCAGACGACTAGAGTCTGTCGAGTTCAAAATTTTCGGATCAGATCCTACGAGTTTTACTACGATGAAACAACGTGAGAACAATATGAGCATGTCTTCACGAAATAAAAAATTCATTTTTCGAAATCAACCATTTTTTGATTTAATGAAACTATATGGAAAAAGATTTTTGTCATTATGTAAATATTTTATTAAGATTAGTAAAATATTACAATAATATTTTGTTGTCATTATCTTATTACCTATTTAATTATGTTCTCATTTCTATTATTACAATAACAATATCTAATATAAAGTTTTATTTGTTTTTCTTCATAAAATACTTTTCAATAAAATATATTGATAAAGCAGAATCAAAATCAGTATCATATCTGAACATGTTTACTTATCTTTCTACGGTATATTAACAGAAAATACTTGTAATACTTTAAAAATATCTCAACAACGCCCTCAAAAAGAAAAACAAGCATAATTTTGAAAAATATGACAATAAAACACCAAATAGCTAAAACTGAATGAGAAACAAATCGTTCGACGAGATTTATAATTCAATATCAGTTTCACCAATCCTTTACCATAATATCTTAAACTAATGTTTAATGAAAAATTTTTTATTTCGTCATTAACATAGATTAAAGAACTTGAAAAGTTTTTTTTTAATGAAACAGATATGGACAGGATATTCCGAAAGACTACTGTGAAACAAAAACATAAATATCTGTAAAACAATTCGAGTGGTTTATATGTTTTTCTTACAGCATTTATGGTCGTAGATGTTTATCGGAAAATATATGGAATGAAACTTCAACGAATATATGAATATAAATTCCTTAAATTGAATAAAAGATATCCACATATCTTTTTATGACAGATTTTTGGAACACTCTGTATGTAATTAGAAAGAAATATCGAATGTATATTTAAAAATGTATTATCTTGGAAGATTATTCAATTTTTATAAGTCGAACTATTGTCTGATGATTAGTGCTGTGCGGGATAAAGTTAAAGAAAACTATTCTAGAATTTATTCTTATCAAATCTAAAAAAGAAATCTTTAATACTCGTTTTTTTTTTGTATTTATTTAGTTAACAACTAGCAATTTTTTGCCTAATCTCTTTTGAATCATGTTTTGATTTCCTTAAAATCATACGGAATTTTACTACGATATTTAGTATTCGTGTGATGAATTTTTCATCAAAGTTTCGATTCCACACGACGACGTATAACGAGAAAAATGCTTGAGCGGTATTTTACAATTCGTTTCTTTTCTGAAAATTCCTAATATATTTGGAAGAAAAAAAACGACTAGAATTGAACAACATCGTGTTCTGTTCTGCGTGCGTAATATTATAATCAATTATGAGTTTATAATTTTTTTCCTAGATTATTTCATTTGATTAGCAATTTGATCACAAAGGTTTGAGAGTATACTCCTTCTGTTTTTGTTTTTTTTGGAATCCAATATGATTGTAAAGGATTAACTGAGTTTATTATTTCAATTGGAATTTTTCATGCATAAGATGATCAAACAAAAACTTTCAATGCGGAGAAATTTCAAAGTATTGACTAACATCTTTTTTTTATTCAAAAGCAAAGATTATTTCCAGATCGATGAAACGAATAGTAGTCTTATTTTTTCTTAATAAAGAATCGAATTGATTTTAAAAACAAAAAAAAGACACTGTTATCGCAATCTTAGCAAGGCTAACATATGAAACACGACATGATTGCTGTTGTTAATAATAAGGAGATTGCTTTATTCTATTTATTTTAGGATACATTTCTTTACTATCATTTTACTTGATTCTCGAGAAATGTAATTCGGGAGTTATTCAAATATTACAATGAGATGTTATTAATATACGGTCTATGATCGTATATCAACAACATTTGTCATGACCTATGATGTAGGAGGAAGAGAGTTTAAATGCTTATTCATATACTTCAACAAATAACTGTTTATATTAAAATGGATGTTTTCAAATTCTGCATATATAGAAATTTAATGTGAAGAAATATATTGTAGAGCTCTTGAATTGATTTCACGCATAAAAATTAATTTGATGTTTTCTACTCAAAAGATGTTTTAAAAGTTTTCGAAATTTAAAAAAAAGTATGAAAGAAATTATGGTTTTAATGAAATTCTATTAATGATTTAAGTTTATGGCATTAGCGAGCAACAAATGAATAAATTCTTATTTTTTTTTATGATCATAGAAATATTTATAAATTTTCATTATAAAAAGAGAATAAACTTTTCTTATTTGACGTTTATAACTATTCAGATATAAAAATCATAAATGTATGGAAGAAATTTTATTAAATCATGAATATTTATTGTAAATAATAGATGGCAAATGTTAAACTAACATTTAAAAATATTTTTCTGTTTCTGTACCATTCTGCCATCTTTATCTAGTTTTTTTTTTACCATAACACTGATTTGTCAATTGTCGTAACCATTTCGATTTTAAAATATTAATAAGCTTACTTGCTCAACCTTTGAGCAATTCCATTTTACATCGGGTATATGTTAGTTGAACACTTGAAAATAAATATTAACGAAAGAATCATATTCTAATTGCAGATTTCAAAAACAATTGACAATCCATACTTCGTTGAATTGTTGGAAAATGACAGATGCAAACATTGTAAGATAATTTCATCTTTTGAAATTTTATTTTATTTTCCTAAATTTCTACTTAGAAACTATTCTATAGAAATATTTTCATTGATTGAATTTATAGAGAGCTAAAATTTACAGTAGAGATGTACAGATTACGGTAGAGTAAGAGTATAAGTTTTGCCGGATAAAATAAAGCAAGAATTAGAAAATTTTCCTCAGACACAGTGCGGAAAACGCTGAGCCCGTACATATCTAATCTACACATCTGAAATTAATCATTGCATAGTAATAGAAGATTAGATATGTTAGATTATATTTAAATTTGAATTGTGAAACACTAATCACGATTGAGACCAACAATGATTGGTCGAATTCATGTTTAAATACACTTCAAAGAGTTAGGCCTTGTCTCCACGAGAAAAATAATACGGTATTAACTTTGTATTAAAATCATGCGTGTCTACACTTGGAAAGTTAATGCATCAATCAGAATCTAGAAAAAAATGTCGCTTTCATTAATTCAATTGGAGCACATGAACCTAATGAGACTTTGATTGGTGCATTAACTTTAATTCGCTTTCGAAAGCGCATTAAATTTAATGCGCTTTTGAAAGTGCATTAAATGCGAATTAAATTTTCCACGAATCAAGTTTTTTAATTCGGTATTAAATTTTCTGGTGGAGACAAGGCCTTAGAATATTAGAAATTACACCAGTTGACGAAAAATTACTTCAAATTTTCTATATATCCAATGATGAGGATAAAAGTTTAGAGCTGGTCGGGTTCAAAATGTTCGAACTCGAAAGCTATTCGACGGACTCTAATAAGTATTTTTAATGACAAGTATTCGTTTATGTATATGTCTCAAAAATATATTAGTATAGTAACTTAATTCTAGGATATAGACTTATTTCGTCTATTTCGAAATGAAATACAATTAATGAGGTTTTCCTAAATTAGCCTTTCTTAATATTTAATTAATTATTGGATAAATCAGAATCTTTTTTTTTCTGTAAGATAGAAAACTATGCAGATTTGATCTTTCTATTTTTAATCGAGTTAATTTTAAAGAAATTCGCAACATTTCTCATAACTAATTCTATTTCAATAAACATTTCTTTTTTTTTTCTTCTCCTCTATTTTCACAGCATCCATCTGTTATTTTAATTCGTGATCGATTACATGATATATTTCCTGAAATAGAAATTCCTCTTGAAATTATTGGATGGCATATTCGTCAATCAACATCTATCGAAGCTATATGTTCAATTTTTGCTTCGGAAATATTATCTTTTGGTGAAGTAATTGATCCAAGAAAAACTACAAATCAAATTGATGGACAAACAGCTTCAACAAGTAATCACACACCTAACCAAACAACAATCAATGATGATACACTTAAAACACTCTATGATGTATTCAATTCAATACCTCGTGATCATATAGAAAATATTTATATTCATTTTAAAAATAGTAATAATCCAAATTGGTATGATGATATTGTTAATGAATTACTTTCTTATAATGTTATAAAACCTTCAACAAATAAACGTTCATATGATGAAATGATTATTGATGATATAATATTTATTCCAGATGAATATAATCGTTTACTTGCTATATTACCTGATATTGATCCTGATTATGCATTAGAATGTTATATGAAATATCGTGAAACATCATCAGATAAAACAGATTTAAATGTATTAATAACAAGTCTTATTGAACATGGTTATGTTAAATTAACAGATAAATTAGAACGTTTACGTAATGAAAGATTAAAAGAAAATTTACGTGAACCTAAATTTGAAATCAATGAATTTCTTAAAACATTTCCTAATCCACTTGAATATTTTTATGATCGTACAAAAAATGTATCAGAATCTTATAAAAATCATACATATATTTATTTAGCTAATGCATTTGCACGTATATCAATTGATTATATAAAACAAATATTAAATAATAATAATTATCGTTTTGCACCATCTATGAAACAATTACAAGAAGAATTTCAAACATATCATATTAATCAAAATAAACAATCGAAAAAAAAATCGAATGATAGTAATTTAAGACAACAGAAAAAAAAAAAAACCAATAATTTATTCTCATTTTATTTTATCTAGCTATGTCTAAACGACTTAATCATCGAGCTCGTGCTTCAATGTCAATTCCTGATATACCAGATGAAATTTTTTATAAAGTAAAATGATTTATTTCACTTTTCGAATATACGCTTTTTTGTTGTTGTTTATTTAGGAGTTGTGTTATATTAAACATGAGGATGAAATTATAGGTAAGCAATGAAAAAAATAAAGAACGAGTATGATTCAGGCGACAATAGACGTGCATATTGTTTTTTTTTGTGTGTGACGGTACTATTGACTTTAAAAATAGAACGAAAGAAAAAGAAAAAAGCACGAGAGAGATATATTTTGTCGGACTTTACGCAATCGGTTTTTATTCACGAGTAAATGCATTAGTAGTCTTTTTATCAAACTAATTGTTCTCGTGTGATTTATTATGTCATCTGAAGAAATTGATGCTGCAAGTGTTAATGATTTTGATCCTAATCGTGCATTGGGTTTTTGGCATATTCTTGCAACCAATCTTAACATGTGGAAAGATAAATTAACACCAACAATAACATATTCGATTCATGATCAATTATCTGATGGACGTCTTCGTTTAAATGATCTTGTTGAATATTATACTCGACGACCTTTTGTTGGTTTTGTATCAACAAATATTAAAGGTATTGATACACAATCAACATATAAATCAAGTCGTTTTCAATGGCGAGGAAATGGTTTATTTAAATTATTGACAAGTGAATTCGGTATTGTTATTGTTGACAATGAAACACCTGTTGATCAACCTTATCAATGGATAGCAACAATGTTTAGTTCTACTTTATTTACAAATGCTGGGGTTGATTTAATGACACGTACACGTCAACCACCAACATATGTATTAAATAATTTCGTACAATTTTGTCAAGAACATCCTATATTAAGATCCGTATCAAGAAATATGTTTTATACACGAGAAAAAATAGACGATGCTATTTATTATATAAAAGATCTTCAAACAGATTGAGAAATTTTTTTCTTTTTCTGATTTTCAAATTTCTCTTTTTTTTTTTTTTTTTTGTATCTTTAATCTTGCTATAAAGCTATTACTATTTTCATTCTTTTTTTTTATTTTTTTATTATAGAATACTTAACACGAAAGCAAGAATTTCGCGATGAACAAATTCGTATTGCAGCAGAAAATGGTACACTACAAACATGTGATTGCTGTTGTGATGATCAATTACTTGATGATGATATGATTAGTTGTGATAATAATCATCGATTTTGTCAGTAAGTTAAAATCAATTATTTGTTTGTCCTTCTTTTTTTATTTGATCTATAAGAATTTTGAGTCACGAAACAATTTCCCTAGATGTCAAATCGCTCTTCGACCAAGATGATGTTTCATTTATGAGTGCTAGTGATTAATAGAAAGATTTTAATTTTTCTAGTCTTTGTTTTCGTGATAAAGTTTTCATCAACAAGCTGTGGATCTCCTCAGGTCACATAAAGAATGAACTTCAAACTTTGCAAGAACGAAGTTCTTAATGAGATTAGTTAATGATATGAAGAAAATTTGTTTTTATACATGAGAGAATTTCAAATATTAGATATCTTAGGATTGGAAACACTAGAAAAGTTACAACTTGTTCAATGAACTAATCTCATTGAAAATCTTATTCGTACAAAATTTGAAGTCAAAAGTCGATTTTTCATGTGACCTGAGTTATTACCCATTAAAATATATATCATCTCAATCGAAAAGCAATTTAACACTTGAAGAAGTTCTTTCGTCATACCCGAGTTTACTTCAAAATGTTCTCATAGAAATAAGATTCTTTATATGCATTAGTGAAGTAAACTAGGATTCAATCTGAAAATTTCTTGAGATTAAATTTTATTCTGTATTTTTTATTTTATATATTCCAATAGAACATGTATACGAAGTTATATTGAGAATGGTTTTATATCAAATGGCGAATGTTTTTTTACATGTTTAAATCCAACATGTAAATTTGAATATTCAACATCATTAATAGGTCAATTACTTGCACCAACACTGTTTTCTCGATTGCTTATCAAAATTCAACAAGAAGAATTACGTCTAGCAAATATTCCTAATTTTGAACAGTGCAAATATTGTACATTCGGAACAAGTATGATAATATTCTCATTTACTTATAATAAACAGCGAAATATCATAGATGGACAATGAGAAGAAAGTTTCTGGAAAACTAAACACGGTAGTTTTCAAGTGTTAGAAGATCAACTAAATATTAGTCTTTTAATGATTCTTTCTTTTTGTAGATTATATTCTTATTATGCAACATATACAATCATATTTGATGTATATTTTTTTTTTTGTATATTGTAGTTATCGATGATCCTAATGAACGTGTATTTCGATGTTTAAATCAAGAATGTTTAAAAGAAACATGTCGTGCTTGTGGTGAACCAAATCATATTCCATTACGATGTGATGAAGTTGAAAAAAAAGATGAATTAGATATGAGAAAATTTATTGAAAATCGTGTTTCAGAAGCAATGATTCGAGTTTGTTATAAATGTAAACAACGATTCTATAAACTTGAAGGTATAGAAAAAGAAAAACAAAACAAAACAATATTTGAAAATATTTATTTTCATTTGTTTCTTTTCTGTTAAATTAAATTAGGTTGTAATAAAATGACATGTGCTTGTGGTGCATCAATGTGTTATGTTTGTCGTGAACCTATTAAAGGTTATGAACATTTTAATAATAATGAAAAATGTGGAGCTAATATGGATGTTGTAAAATTACATCAAGAAGAAATGCGTTTGGCTTATGAAGAAGCTAAAAAGGTTTATGTCGAACGACATCCCGAAAGCAGAGATTTAGTACTTAAATATGATCCACAACAGCATCTTGCTGGTCTTGAACCAAAGTAAATTTGAAAGAAAAACAAAATAAAATGAAATAAATACATCTTATAATAGACTAATGTCCGTGTTAGAATGAAAGAGAAGTGAGTGTAAACTCAATAAATCGACAATGGCAATATCTAGCGACCCGTGCGACTTTTGAGCAATCGAAAAAAGAAAGCTCCGAACGCGTTTTATGTCTGATATACTATAGAAGATAAAATTATTTTAAAATGCGTCATCTTCACAAAACACTTACAATGATGTTCTGTTTCAAGAAACTTTTGACAAAAAAGTCAGAAAATTTGCTAAAAACCATAAGAATTTAATCGAATAGATATCCGCTTTTGTTTATTCAACTTTGAGATATGAGAAAATAATCATCTGTATCGTGTGTTGAGTGACAGATCTAATGCTCATGTCAAAATCATAATTTCATCGAAACGGACCACTTAAATGTTTTACACAGATGATGAGTTCTTAAAAAATTTCATCTGATATAGTATCCAACAAAAAAATCACCCAAGTTTTTCTCGTGAGAATTCTGAAAGCTGTAGGTCGCCCTTGTCGAGTTATTGACCTTATACCTATCCCTGTCTAATTGACGAAATGGAAAATTTGAATTTCTGCACATCATTATATAATGATTGATATAAGATAAGCAATACTGCTACAAGCGATCAGATAAAATACCGATGATGTATAGCTAAAATTCATTTTTAAACATTTAATTGAAGGATTACAATTTTCAGTTTAGCATTGAATTGAATCAAGAGATTTATTTTAATATCTACATTATCAGAAGAGCAAATAAGATAGAAACGAATTTCCTTAGCTAACCCAACTCAAAACTATACACATGATTTTTATATATAATAGCTACTTTTTCGGATCATCTCTCTTGAATTATGTTTCGATTGATATAATTTATAAGATAATTCGCTAAAAACCATACAGTATTTAACTATAATCTTTAGTTCTGATTAGGACAAATTTGTTTTTCCAAACACGATCTAAAAGGAGTGTTGAAGCCTAAAAGCAAAAAAATTTGAACCTCCTCCCATCTTTCACAGACCGTTGCAGACTATACATCATACATGAACTAATTAGTTCCTTGTTGCATTTCGGAAGGATGCTGAAGAAATGTCATGTTTCGCATTTTAATCCCATAGAGAGTACGTTAATAACTTTTTCTCGTAGTTTTAGTAATTTCTCGTTTCCACGCAACGAAATAAATTTTTATGAAATGTCTATTATAATCATCTCTTCTAAACTTTCTGAAAATAGGTAATTTACCATCTTATACTTTAATTCTGTCTTGTATATTAGTTTTTGAATCTTATTCGAAGTAGTGTCCGCATGTGTGTTTTTCTTGATTTTTGATCGATGAATTTCATGATAGAATTATCATCATTCTCAATATTTCATTGCTTAACTTTGTTTAAGTAGATTTGTTTTTGTTTCAACTCGATGTTGAAAGTTCTCCCATGTCACTCTTTTATTTGCACTACCGCTGTTTTTTTTGTCTAATTTAAATCACATAAGTTTTCTTTCTTGTGTTTTTAAATATTAGTCCTTTTATTATAATAAAAATTATCATGAAATTTTTATTTTATTTTAGGAATAGACCAAAAGCAAAACGTGGTAAACGTCGATATGAATAATCTACGAACAGTTTTTGAAACGCTATTTTTTTTTGTCAGATAAACTTGAATTTGATTCTTTTACTTTTATATTATATTTAAAAAATAAGTGATGACAGAAATAAAATCTAAAATGCTATGAATTGAAAGTAAATGAATAGATTTAGCTTTTCTTTTCATTTATTCCAGATGCCTGGTAAAGAATTAACAGCTTGGCTTGACGAATATTCCTTATCTCATCAACATCCAATTAATATTCTAATACACAAAATATGTGTACCGACAATAACAGTAACTGTTATTGCTATGCTTTGGTGTTTACCAATCATACCAAAAAATATTCGTAATACAATATCACTTGGTCAAGTTGATCTACTTAATCCTACACTTATACTTGTACCTGTACTTGCTTTCTATTGGAATCTTTCACATCCCATGGCTATAGTAATGACAATTCTATTTTTTATGGCAATAGTATCGTTAATATTATTGGAAAACAATCATGTACGAATATTTCGTATAGCATTGATTATTTTTGTAGTTGCTTGGATTGGACAATTTATTGGACATGAAATTGAAGGAAAAAAACCAGCATTTTTTAAAGATCTACAATTTCTTTTAATTGGTCCTCTCTGGACTTTAACTCATGCTTTTCGATTCATGGGTATTGACTATTAATCATATTGTAGTATCTCTGTTTCTTTTTTCTTTTTGCAATGTAAACAAAACATTTCATTGCGCGCCTATTATATGATCTCATCGTATATATTACAACCATAAGAAATATATGAAAATGGAAGAATTTCACGATCAAATAAATGAATTACGCATAAATTCTCAACAGCTTGAAAATATTGATATAAGTCATTTTGTCAATGAAATTGAACAAATTGGTTTGTTAATGATTTATATTTTAAAAAGCTAGATAGGAACAATTTTTATTTGAAATATTCAGGTCAACAATTGAAATATTCACAAGAATTTCTTCTTAAAGAAATTCAACGTTTAAAAAAAGATTTAGATATAAATTACGCTAAACTTAATTATGCTAATGAACTTCGAGCAATTGATCAAGTAACATTAACGACATTTAAAACTAAATTTCAAGACTTAACAGAATTACTTTCTCATGTTAAAAATAAAGAAATGAATGCATGGCATATCATTCAGGTGAATATCAGAGTTGCAATAATGATTTTTCAGGTGATTGTTTATCCTCAAAAAGTGTTTCGGTTTTCCATCATTCAAATTTTGATGAGATATGTAGAGAAAATATATCTCCGAGTAGACACTTCATAATAAGCATTTCAGCTCGAAACTTCGAATGAAAATTTCCAATTCTTGAACGTTGATCGAGCTCATAACTTTTTCATATCGAGGCCAAATTATTTGTTAGCAACATGACTTCGAAAAATTAAAATATATATAGCTCAAGATGATGAGATTTTGGGTGACGGACATTTCGCACCAAGTCATTCCGAACCCCGGACATGTGTCCGAGTGTTCGGAAATGACTTTTTGTCGTAACAAATATATGACGGGAGTTCGTAATCCTTTTTGAACAGGAGATCGTAATCGAAAACACAGGGAGATCGGAAAGGCGTTACTGGGAATTCGAAATGGAATGATCATTACTATATGCGGAGTAATGTTTAAGAATCGGGACGAAAAAGACGGGATGTTCATGACCCAATTTACCAGAAGATCGTAACTGATTTATTCTAATATTCGCAACGGTCATAAAGACTTTTCTTTCTTTTTTTTTTTACAGAATCAAGAATGATTGATACAATAGGTTCGTAATGATATAAACAACATCTACCTTTCTCTGTCTCTACAGATAACGCTATAATAACTGTACAAGATGTTTACGACTTTTGTGCTTTAACCTATTCATAATGTTGATAATTGTTATCACTAATCTCTGTGGAAATGAAGTACTATATAATTAAAAGTCTCTACGTTCAAAAATTATTGACTAGACGAGTGAGG